TCAACTTTTCATTTCGACTTTGACCTCCAAAGTCGAAACATTTCGACTTTTGGGTTTTCATTTCGACTTCATGTATAATACTGATGTTTCGTTCATATTAAAAATGTTGACTAATTTAAAGGATTTTTCAGTTCTCAGACGGGTAACAAATTGATGGAATTTGGCTAACAATTCTTCCGTTTGACTTGGAAGCTTTTGAAAAATTTTTGTACATCTTCTCCAAGATAGTTTATATCTTTTCAGAAAACAGGACAGCCATCGATCTGACATTCTAAAATCTTTTGTCGAATCTTTATACAAATTTACCATTTCAGGCGTCTCCATAATTTCTTGCATTTTAATTCGTAGGATCATATAAGTGACTGACAATCCTTGTTTTCTTTGCTCAATAATCCAAGTATACAACTTACCTTCAGCCTCAAGATAAAAGGCTTTTCGACCTGAGCCAATTCGTTTGCTGTCTTGTTTTATTTCAGTATTTTAATTTTCATTTGCTTTTAGCTAACGACTTACCATACTAGTATCAAGTTGAAAATAGTCTGTCGCTTTGTTTTGTTCATGCTGCTTAGCGTAAGTGATTACTTGATTCTTTTGGGTAATAGAATATGAAATACGATTACGTTTAATACTTTTATTAACTTTGCGTGTTTTTATTATTTTTCGTGAAAAGGTTATCGAAACGTGTTTTACGTTATGAATAAATTATTTGGTTGCACAAGATAATCATTTTGCGCAGTTTCAAATATCATTTTAAGCAATGCAATTTTGAAGAGAAAATTTTTTTAAAAAACCATTCGAAATTAAGCACCTCTATAATAAAAAGGGATGCTTAATTTCAAAAGTATATAGTATCTTAACCAATAGCAAAAAAATCCATTTCTATTAAAAAAAAAAAAAATAGTAAAAATCAAAAAAATAACAATAAAAAAGAGTTATTATTTGTAACATATCTTATCCAATAAGCAAGAAAAATCCACTTCTAATAAAAAAAAGAAAAAAATTAGTAAAATCTGAAAAAATACCATTTCTATTTGTAGACTTATCTTAACCAATAGCAAAAAAAAGTCTATTACTATTAAAAAAAAAAATAGTAAAAATCTAAAAACAATAACAAAAGAGTTCTGATTTGTAACATATTTTAGCCAATAAGCAAGAAAAATCCACTTCTAATAAAAAAAAAGAAAAAAAATTAGTAAAATCTGAAAAACCATTATTCTGATTTGTAAACTTATTTTAACCAATAGCAAAAAAGTCTACTACTATTAAAAAAATAAAAAAATAGTAAAAATCCAAAAAACAACAATAAAAGAATTCTGATTTATAACATACCTTAGCCAATAAGCAAGAAAAATCCACTCCTAATAAAAAAAAATTAGTAAAAATCTAAACACTACCATCCCAATTTGTAGATTTAACTTAACTAATAGCAAAAAAGGTCACTACTATTAAAAAAAAAATAGTAAAAATCCAAAAAACAACAATAAAAGAATTCTGATTTATAATATATCTTAGATAATAAGTAAGAAAAATCCACTCCTAATAAAAAATATAAAAAAATTAGTAAAAATCCAAAACCTATAAAGAAAGTTACTTAACTTATTCAAAAGAAAGAAGGTTTGATAAAAAAATAAGTAAAAAACTGAAAAATACCTCTGAATAAATCCTGAAAAGCCACTTACTATATCTTATCCAAAAAAATAAATGTTTACTATAAAAAAAGAAAAAATATTAGTGAAAACTGAGAAAAAAACGTTTCTAAAAAAAAAGAAAAAAAAAGAAAAAGCAGAAAAGGTAATTCTAATATTCTAAAAAAAGGTTAAATATATATATTTTATATTTATTATGATACATAAGATTAATAGTAAACAAATAATAATAAAAGTTAATGGAAAATGATAATTGTCATTGAATATGATATTTTATTATAAAATGATGAAATTTGTTTCGAATTGGTGAAATTTCACTTTCAAAACAAAAATCATCTTCGAATTGATGAAGTTTCACTTTTGAATGTGAAATTCACTTTGATAAATAAAAATTGCAATATCCTAATCAATGACAAAACTTTGCTTAAGAATTGAGAAGACCAAAAATTCAAGAATCTAACTATGCAAACTAAGAAATTGACAAAGAAAAAGATGAAAAATCAATAGCAGTTTAATATTATGTTAGAATTAAAGAAAATCTAGTAATTGTTATTTTAGATTCAGAAGCTGCAGTTAGTATAATTACTAAGAAATTAAAGAAAAACTTAGGACTAATAATTGATGAAGCTTCTTTTTATTACTGTTGTAGTTACAGCTAATGGAGAATAAACTAGAGCTTTAGGACAAATTAGAAAAGCTCAAATTGCTATTTAAGATCTCTTAATTCCAATTTCTTTACAAGTTATTGATTCTCAGAATGAAACTTTACTTCTAGAAACAGATTGGTTTAGTTAGAAAAACTCATGCTAGTGTTGACTTTGAAACTAATCAAATTAGATTAAGATATTTAGCCAGGATTATCATTGTACCAATTACTTCAAGTGTAAATAAAACACCATTAAGCTACCAACCTAACCTTGATCAACATGAGGATGAATTGAAATAAGTTTTAGATGATTATAAGGAAAAGGAATTAAGCGAAATTGAAGCTTTTATGGTTGATAGTTAAGAAGAAGATGAAATTGAACCAATATCATTTGATTATAATCTATAGGATGAAGAAGATTCTGTCTACATGACTCTAGCTTTTAAGAAAAATTTTGAACCAAATCCAGCAATATTCCTTGTGAAGACTTCTAATGAAAATATTTGAAAAATTAAGGATGACCTTCAAGTTGAACCCTTAGATGAAAAATAACAAATGATTTTTTAGAATCTGATTGATGATTTTCAAGATATTTGTGCTCTCAGTCAAACAAAAATTGGATGAACCAATTTAGTAAAATTCAATATATTGACTTATAATCATGATCCTATCACTACTAAAGCGTATAAATGTAAAGATCCAGTTAAACTTAAATTCTTAAAAGAAGAGATTAAAAGAATGGAAGAAAATGGAATTATCAAAAAATCAGTTAGCTCATAGGTATCACCAGTCATTATAGTAGCTAAGAAACAGGTGATAAAAGAATTTGCATTGATTATAGAAAGCTAAATTTTATCTCAAAAAGTGATGTATATTCTCTCTCACATATTAATAATATATTAGAGAAATTCTGAGAAGCAAAATTGTTTTTTACATTCAATCTTGCAAGTGATTATTAGCAAGTTGAAATGAGTGAAAAAGATAAAGAAAAGACTGCCTTTATCTCACAATTTGGATTGTACAAATTCAACATAATGCTTTTGGCTTGAAAAATGCATATGTTACGTTTCAAAGATTAATAAATCATATTTTATAAGAATACCTTTATGAATTCATGGTAGTATATCTGGATGATATTATTATTTACTCTGATATATTTCAAAGTTATATCCAACATTTCAAAAAAGTTTTTCAGGCAATCAAACGGGCTAATTTAATGATAAAATTGAAGAAATATCATTTTTGTCTTTCTAATATTACATATCTGAAACATGTAGTTGGACGTAATAGTTTACAACCTGATCCTTCAAAAATTGACAAAGTCAAGAATTTTCCTATTCCTATTGATCTAACTATTTTAAGATCTGCATTAGGATTATTTTTATATTATCGTAGATTTGTTTCTGGATTCTCTAAAATTGCTAAACCTTTAACGCAACTATTGAAAAAGGAAGAACTATTTTCTTGAACAGATATTCAACAAAAAGCTTTTGATTTTCTCAAAGAAAAGTTAATTACTGCTCCAATTCTACAATATCCAAACTTTAATAAGCTATTTATTTTGTATATCAACGTATCTGAAAATGGATTAGATGCTATTCTTTCTCAAAAATTAGAAAATGGATTAGAATATGTCATTGCATATGCAAATAGAAGCATAAATAAAGTAGAACAAAATTATGGAATTACTGATCAAGAATGTCTTGCAGTAGTTTGAGCTGTCAGATATTTTCACCATTATCTGAGTTCTCAACCTTTTACTATTATTACCAATCATTCTATCTTAAAATGATTACAAACATCAAAAATTCCAAAAGGATGACATGCATGATGATAATGAAACTCCAGCAATATAACTTTGAAATCAAGCATAGACTAGAAAAGTTAAATGCTAATGCTGATATTTTATTCAGAATTAATCCAAAAGATTCAGTAGCTAAATATTTTATGTTAACAATCAAAAATGAAGAAACTTTTTCTGAATCTGAAATGGAATGGCATTAATCTTCTATTTCTCAAAGTGATGAAGATAAAAAATTTGAAAAGGAGTTAGCTTAGCATTCTCATATGCTTCACTAATTACAGCTGTTAGTTATAAATGCACAAAGGATGAAATAGAAAACATCTATCATAAAAATATCAAAGTAAAATAAGTAATTACAAACTAACCCATAACTAAAGAAGGATCACAATATACTTTTACTTGTGATATTGAAAACTATCATTTGCATACTTATTGCAAAGCATGCAAGAAAAATTTGCCATATGAAATCATAAAACATGATTATATTATTGGATTTGGACTTGAAAAAATCTAACCCAATATAGATCCTACATATCTAATCAATAATTTATGGTGGAAAGAATCTGAAGAAGTTAAGCAAAAAAATGTCTATAATCAACTTTATGAAATGTTGAACATTTCATTCTCATTTTCCTATTAAATACTTTATTATTCATTTATACTGTTAACGTGCGATTTTGGTGGATCGCTACAGTTAAACAAGGTGTTTGAGAGTTGTTTCTTTTTAATGTACATAGTAATCTACTGATTTATTCCTAAGTTCTAGATTTATAATTGGTTCTACTCAAACGTATTTAACTGTAACTCACTAAGACTAGTGTATTTCCAAAAATTCACAATGACTGTTGTTGTCATGAAGGCCTAACTGTTACCTTAATTCACAAAGATTTACACAATCACTCAGATTTTATAAGATCACTCAGATATACAACATTACTTCGATAACGATATATAATATCACGCAGATGTATAATAATAATAAGATAATTTATTGATAAATAATAAGAAGGAAAATAAGAAGTAAAGAAATAAAAAAATAAAGGAAAAAGGTAAAGAAAATAAGAAAGAAGATTTCACTAAGATAAAAGAGCACACAGCTATTCAAAGGTTT